TGTCTCCCTTAATAATAGAGGTATCACCTAGTTTTACATCTCTGCATCTCAAATCCTTTAAGAATTTTATCAATATAGCTCTTTGTGATAATCCAAATATAACCTGAAAACGAACTGAGCACATTTGTATTTCGGACACAAAAGAGACACCACCAAGATCTTTCATTCAAAATTTCATGATAGAAATCTCTTGGTTTCGTGCAATAAGCCTATATTATTTCAAGCAAATAGTATATCATCGACATACAATACTTCCAAAAATATGCTTACTCTTTCAAAAAATATGCTTATTCCTACTGTACTTGTGGTATACACTATCAACAATGTTATCTTTAAACCAAATGAGATAATTATTTGATGAAATTTGTTATACTATTGACGGAAAATTTGTTTAAATCCATAGATGAATTTCTTTAATTTGTAAACTATCAAATGTAGCACAAGATCAAAATGTGTTAAAAGTGCCATGATAGTCCTAAAAGATTCTTTCATAAAAACTAGAAAGAAAATCTGTTTAAAGTCAATGCATTCCTTTTAAGTAAAGTCATTTAAACAAGACACGCCTTATATCTCTCTGCATCACCCTTCGAATCCCTCTTGAATTGAAATATTTATTTACAACCAATGGGTTTCACATATTCAGACAATGGGATGAGTCCCCAAACGTCATTGTTACTCATGAACTTTATCTCTTTTTTCATGGCATCAATCCATTCTTAAAAATTGTCTTTTTCTTTTTTAATGAATTTCCTTAATGACATTTGTTTTTGTAATTGTTGACTTTGTTCTTTTGAAACAATATTTTGATTCTGTATGGGAGATTTTCGTAATATTGTCTTGATCTAAAATTGCTTCTTGAACAAGACCTAGATTAAGAATTTGTCCGCGGTCCCGATCATTGTCAATTGCTACGGAAGAGATATATACACATTCTTCTTCAAAGACAATCCTTAACCTGAAAACCTTATCTCCTCCCACAAATGTACATCATCAAGGAATCGAGCATTTCTTGTTTCGAAAATTGACCTAATAGTGGGATCTATAAAATTTATAATCCCTTAACAGTTATTTTACTTGAAATTTTATTGAGAATTTAAGCTACATTCTTTAGTGTTTTAATGTAGAGAGATTCTGGAGTAGTGTGAGACGATTTCACATTCATCTAAGAATTTAGCAAAAGGCTCTGACGTTGTTTTCCTAATCCATCATAGTATTCACCACCACGGCCATAACGAGAAAATTTGTCTATGAACATAATAAATGACCGTTGATCATTCCAAGAAGTTGAAATGAATGGCCTACAGGTTTTCGTATGAATTAGTTTTAAGACATTCAAAGTTTCATTGGCTCCTAATCTCATTATATTTATTTATTTTTCCTTAATGTAATTAACATAAACACCTAAGTCTGAAAATTTAAGGGGATCGAGAATTCCTTTTGACACAAGATTTTTTTCTCTTTGAGAGATGTGTCATAACCGCTTGTATCATAACAAAGCAAAATTCTCATTGGTTAATTTATGTTTAATATTACGTGAATTCACATTCAAGATTTCTTTATAAGAGGCAACCGTCTCAAATAGATATATGTTATCATATCCAGATAAAGAATTGGTACCTACAATATTTGAATTAAGAAAAAGACTAAATTGACTATTTTCAATTAACAAAATTAATCGAATTTGTTCAATGTAGAAACAGAAACCAAATTTCGTAAAAAAGGATGGTACCGCAAATGTCTCTTTCAAACCCAAATAACGAGCCTTTAATGATAATCCAAAAATTCTTATAGCCCCAATTTTAATTGATTTGTTATTGCCCCCACATAGGTGAATCTTTCAGTATCAATTGGATTTAGGCTGTTTGGGTAACCCCGCATGGACAAGCTTATTTGAATAGTGGCATCGAAATTTATCCACAAAGTGTGTCTAGGTATTGAAACTAAATTAACCTCTGAATGAATTGAAATGAGAAGTGTACTTGACTTTACACGTCAAGAATGGTATATAGTACACTCTCCTTTTATTTATTTCCAAATTTCACAAAAGTAACAGTCAGATGATTAATCATTTTCAACTTTTGCTGTTTCTTCTGAACTGAACCAGATGCTGTTTTCTTATTCTTTAACTCGTCAATAGAGATACTTGCCAAGTGAGTACTTCCAGTTTTTTCTTGCTTTAGACTTTCTTCTTTTTGTACACAATATGAAATGAGCTCATTAAGAGTCCACTTTCCCTTTTGACAGTCGTAACTGACATTAAATTAGCTAAATTGTGTAGGAAGAAAAATCAAAACCATATACACGAGCAAATCATTAGACATCATAAACTTTAATGTCGTTGGTTTTGAAGGAAGATGAGATACATCCATGATATACTCCCGTATATTTTCTTTAGCGTTATACTTTGGTGACATCAAGTTTGTCAAAAGCAAACTAGTTTCAACCTTATCGCTTTTTTGTAAAGCGTTTTGGAATATTTCTTTAAGAAATTTCTTGGACATTACCTTCTTGTGCACAACACCCCTAAATGTTACTGGAATTTTACGCATCATGATCATAAAGCTTATGCATTTTGAACGGTCCTACTCATTAGAGTCCCATTTTATTAACGGAAACTCTTATCCATAAGAGCAGTGGATTGTTTCAACTTTAATGCAAGGGCTAGATCCATATCGCTAAGAACGATACAAATGTTCTCTTTCCAATTCTTAAACTTTGGTTCAAGTATAAGAATTGAATTGATATTGAAAGATATTGTAGAAGTAGATGAATTAACCTAATCGAGAATCTAATTCTAAATAACATGTTTACGTGAAAATTCGTATTGGACAATCAATAATTTCAAATAATGGTAGGCCTTATCACAAGGGATGGAGCACGACATTGATATTTAGTTTTTGGACAGAAATATCAACTCGTAAGTGGTATTCTTGGTGTAGTAATCAAACATTGACAATAGATTTGGTCAAATATCAAGTGTATCTTTGAACCGACTCAATGTTCACATAATGAAAATTTTTACAATTGTCACGTATTTATTACTACAGGTGTGCAAAAAATTTGGCCAAATATTGATCTTTCTTTGAGCCGGTGAATATTTGCAAGAACTTTGTACACACGACCTTTCTAATATTCCAAATAAATTAGTTTAGCCAAGAGAGGTTACTTTTGTAATATGTTGTTTCAACTAATTTATTTTAGAAAATTAGTAATTTGAAATAAATATTTAGTACCGAAATTTAAAATTGATTTCCCCTTTATATTTTTATTTTTTTCTTTTAGGGCCAAAAGAAAAAAAAATAGAAAAAATAAACGCGAAAGCTGGTGCTACTAATCAGCTTTGCAACATTGGTCGTGCTGCCTTATGGCAGCCGTTAGTTTCGAACCAAAATTTTTGAAAAATTTCAAAAAAATCTGAATTTTTGAAGTTTAGGGTTAAAATTCATATCTTGAATTAGAAAATCTAAATTATAACTTTTAACCCTAAAATTCTATCTTGAAAAAATTCTGAATTTCAAAAATTTATAACTAAAATTCACATTCCAAGTTGAAAGATTCCAAAATTCAATATATGAATTTCAGCAACAAAATTCTTCCTTTAATTTCAATGACTTAACATGGAGTCAGCTCTGATACCACTTATTAAAATTTTATGAAACTTTAAACCTTATAAAACTAGAAACTCTAAAACTTGAAAACTTAAATTTCTTTATTGTCAAAATCCTTTATATCAAATCACCAAGAAAAATTAATAATGCGGAACATACCGTAATTCTTTGGGAATGTTTCTTTATCACTAGATCTTAATTCCGGATTTTGAATCTTGAAACTTGAACTGCAATCTTTTTCATCATTGACTTCTTTACTATTAATCTTGAATTTGATTCCTTTGATGCTTTAATTGTTGTTCTCGGTTTTGATTTTTTGATTCATAGTCTCTACTCTTGAATTCCTTCTTTTTCATCCTTGATTGTGAATATTGAATATTCTTCTTCAATATGTTTTTCTTGTATTTTTGTGTTGATGATATAATACAAGAATGAGAAGTTGTATATGAATTGGGGATTATAACCTCATATACAATTTTTCATATGTATTTCACTCATCATGAAATACAATTTTAAAGAAATATGGTTTCTATACATATAATTCGGCTCACACTTTTATTTAGATGCCTTAAGCCTGACAATTTAATCCTTTATTAGATCACTGCTTAACTTTAAGATAGTTTTATACACTTAATTACAATATTGTCAAAACTGACCCGACTCGATCGGTTCGATCGATAAAATCAGGAACTGGGCCCAAAATCGGGCCAAACATGCCTAGTTAACCGCTTATGACTAAGCCGCTTAAAAACCCACCGAACCAATAGCAGTTTTATGGTTTTCCCATTTTTTCAGTTTAAAAAATTTCAACTTCATGAATGGGCCTCATAAACTTCAATTCAAGAGGCCATAGAGAAATATTTGATGTCATGCTCCTTTTATGGATGCACCTATCTTAAACGGTTTCATAAACTTCCAATATGAAATAGTGGCATAACAAAAACGTTAAAAAATTATGGGATAATGAATCTAATTAACAAAGTATTAATATGAAAATTAAAAAAAATTATTATTTTCATAGTATTTTATTATTTTTGTATGTATTTATTGCATCCAATTCGATCTCCGTTCGACCTCCATTAAACATTTTGACCATTTACCCTTCACATTATTCAGGTCGATGATCGGGTCGATTTTCAAAAAATTGCTTAATTATATAATTAATTATATGTAGGCCAGGTGACAAATTAATAAACAGAATTTTGCAACTTGTATATAAAGGATTGCATAACATTAGGTGGGGGAAAAAAATTGGATAAAAAAATTGATTATATTTTAAACTTATAAATGTTAGAAAAAAAATTGGATAAAAAAATTGATTATATTTTAAACTTATAAATGTTCGAAAGGCACGTGGCATTATGTAATTAACATAATCATACGTACATGTATTAAGGTCATTTCCAACGTTGCCACTTGCCAATTGAGTACAATCTAGGGTTCCTAATATTCTCCGATTCAATTCCCAATTTTCTCAAAATTGAGGCCCAAGATTAAGTTCTGATCGTCTTCTCCACCTTCTTACGCCGATCAATACGTCCTCCCTTGTATGTGTTTCAAAATTTTTATTTTTAATTTCCTTTGCGTTCGAGCCATATCAACCAACAAATCTTGATTATGATATATGATACATTGCATGTTTATATGTATAGAGATGATTATTGTCAATTCAGGTTTGATTTGTTAATTTTCCTTTTGGGGATTAATTTTTTTCTTTGTTCTTTGAATTGGGGGCGTATAGTTGTAATTGAATAATTAGGGTGAAAACTATGCACATAGAGGATTTGAAGGAGGAGGAACAGGGGGAATTATCCGGTGGTGGTAAGCTGTTGTGTAAAACTGATGGGGATATGGCGGTGTCTCGGGATGCGAAGAGAGTTTTGGTTGGAGCTGGGGCGCGAGCGCTCTTTTACCCGACGTTGCTTTACAATGTTCTCAGAAATAAGATTCAGGCTGAGTTCCGGTGGTGGGATTGGATTGATGAGGTATAATTTCATGTCTGCGCAGACAGCGCAGTCATGTGCATGCATTACTTACAATCTTGTTTATTTGGAATGCGCATATGGATTTTATCGCCATCGTGTTTGTTAAATAGTGCCAGACGACTCTTTGCAAATTATCAGTACCTGCTTGAGAATGATCAGCATCGAGATGCTTGAGATCACAGTTTGCACTTTGCAGGACTGTTTTTCCCTTCCCCCTGTTTTTATTTATTTTTTATTTTTATTTTTGGTGGGGGTGGGGGTTTTACCGATAAGGTTAAATTACTGCAGAAGTACTAGGAAATGTTAATTTTGTGCCTTGTTTTCTTTTACCTTATTGGTAGTTAGTCCACAGATTTTGTTTGAATTTAGAAAGAGGTTGGATAATTCGATTCTAATGGCTGTTAATTGAAGCAAAAGGACCCTGCCCTTTTATTTGGTAATGTTCAAATTATTTTTCTTTAATATATGGATAAGAGAATGAGAAGCATTTCTTAAAGCTTGTAAGAAGTATAGTGTGTGCTAACAATGCATATAGAGTCAGTCAAGTGTTAATTGCATTTTTTGGTTGTAGATTCTTAGTTTTGGAATTAAGTTTGTTTAAAGCTTTTATTTTGATTTGCCATATTTGTTTTGGTGAATACTTATTTAATTCGTGTCTTAAGCACCAACTAATTTCATTTTCCATATTAAGTTTGTATTGTTAGGTGCTGTTCCATTCCCATCTGATGTTCATAGGCTAAAGGAGCTCGGCGTTTCTGGGGTTGTCACCTTGAATGAGTCATATGAGACTTTAGTTCCATCGTCTCTATATAAAGTGAGTTCTCCCTTGCAGTTCCACTACTTTAACTTCGTTTTATACTATGATGGGCTCCTGGAAAACTCTGGCACCATTTCCGATGGATTTAATAAATTTTTGAAACCTTTTTACTGGTCTGAAGTTTAAAAAAACTTCATGCATGGGACTTGGAAATACAACTAATTTTAAACTAATTATAGCTGAATATGGTGTGAAACTGATTAAAGTTTTTACGGAAACTTTTTAGGGAGAATTTCTGCCTGGTTATTTTCTGAAATATTGGAGTGTGCTATGTTCAATTACTGTAAGTAATAATTTTATGCCATTTGTTGTGGTTATCACTTGTGAGTTTGTTGAGGAAGTAATATATTTAATGGACTTTAACTTATGAGAGAGGTTTGATATCAACTAACGCTCCTGCATCATTTCTGCATTGACACTCGTCAGTTATTGGATTTTGTTTTATCATTTAATTTTCTCGTATAACTAAAATTAAATAATGCAACATTTTATTTATTTTTTATTTTTGTTTTTGAGTTGCATGACTGAAGTCTTGAATGGTCGACGTGTGTAATATCTAACTGCTATAAGAAGAGCTATAATGTTTGAAGTTGTTTTCTATTCTTTTCACTATAGCTATTACCTTTATAACATTGTTCATTACTTTTTTGAATTATTTTACACTTTTGGTGGTTTTGTTATTATTTTTTGCTTCCTGACAAGTTGAGTACATTTTATTAGGCTCATGGTATCCATCATTTGGTGCTTCCCACGAGAGATTACCTCTTTGCTCCATCCATAGTCAATATATGCCAAGCTGTAGATTTCATTCATGGTGAATATTCTCTTTTGGTATTAGTTTATCATATTGTGTGACTCTTGTAAATTGAACAATTTCATGCTTCATTTTTACAATCCCCAACTTCTGGTGCTTGTTCATTTTTCTCTTTAAACAGTATCGTTTCAGTATGAACCTAATTGGTATTTTGGTTAATGGAGTTAGAAAGCTATAGTACAAGTCAGTGTTCTTTCTTGAAAAAACACTTTCTTGAATATGAACGCTTTATTTGGTCTTTATCTTCATAATTTTGCGTTCAAATGATGTTCATGTACGGAAAGTAAAGAAATTCTTAAGATGGAGTTGCTTTACATTATGAATAGTTGGATGGTTCAGGGCAGATTGACAGTTTTAATGCAATCGAAGACTCATATTTTCCTATAGATGTTTATCTTTGAAGATTTTTGTAGTGCTTCTTGCCTAGTGTTTTTAAACTTGGAAAACAATGAGCAATGATTTGTCAATTTATTTCAGTTAATTTATTCTTTATGCGGTCCATCTTATGTTGCAAATGATATATATTTCTTCAATCTTATTCTTTTTTGTTTTGTGTTAAAGAGAATGCATCCCAGAGGCGAAGTACATACATCCACTGTAAGGCTGGTCGGGGACGCAGCACAACCATTGTCATCTGTTATCTAGTGAGTTGGTTAATTAATCTAGTTATAATTGATCTTTGCTGTTTCCTGTTCTCATAATATTTTTTAATGTGCAGGTGAAGTATAGGCAGATGAAGCCTGATGCGGCATATGATTATGTGAAGTCAATACGACCAAGGGTCCTCTTAGCATCTTCCCAGTGGAAGGTTGGTTTGGATTTTCTGACTTTTTATTTGCCTTGCCCCATATTTCTGCAGTTCTGTTATACTGTGTTTTTTATGCAAAACAAAAATTGAGTAGATGCTTGAATTCAGCTTCCCTGTTGGAAAATTTTGTCATTTTATTCACATATGGTTTGAATCCCAAATTTTGTGTTTGTTGGCCCGCCTTATAAAAGAATGTATAACAATTGTAGGCTGTCCAAGAATTTTACCATCTCAAGATGAATGCTAATAGCTCAAGCCAGTTGACTGGTCTATCCCTAAGTCCAAGGTTCTTGGCTAAGCGAGATCTCTTTGCATTTGACGATGGCTCTGTAGTTGTTATAACAGAGACAGATGTTGATGGATATGTTCGAGGAGACGAGCCTGGAATTGCTGGAAATGAGATATGGGCAGATGTGAGTTTGATATACCGAGTTAAAGTTGCTGGTGATGCAGCTCTGGCCAGACTCTCCGGACTCTGGTTTATTTGGAATTCTCGTCAAAAGATTTCAAGCAAGAAGCTATCTAGTGATGGTGGTTGTGCAGTTAATGGAAGCAACTGGAAAGTTTAACCGTAGATGTTTAGTATGTATGTATGTATGTTCTTCTGAGTTGTGAATATCTGGGTTCTTTATATAGAGCAAAATACTGGTCTCGAGAAATCTGTAAACGTTCCCTTCGTAAATTGAGACTCGTTTCTTTCTGAAAATACTTTTGCTTAAGAACGAACTCTGTTTCATTAAGCAACGGTTCAATTCTGTGTGCAATTTGCCATTCAGGACCATAGTTACAATTAATATTTGATGTATATTTCAAATTTTGAATTAACGAGTAAATGACCTTGCTAGCAGAAAGTGCAATAGAGACTGGGCTGAGACCAAATCCATTTCAACATAAATGGAGCGAATAAAATTTTATGGAAATATAAATTAAAATCCATTTTGTAGTTCAACAAAATCTTAATATTCCAGACATATGAATTGGCTTCATTACAAAAACACCAGTTTTCGTGCGGTAGTTTCGGTAGATCAAGGCATTTGCAATGATATCATATTTTTTTCACATTTTCTTCTTTCTTATAGTTGTTAAGGGTAAATCCAACATCGAATAACGATTAAATAAATTCACTGTATAATATAAGGACTTTACTACTTTTAACGAGGTTGATTATTTTATCATAATCGTGTTTTCTCTCTCTCTCTCTCTCTCTCTCTAAGGTGGTTGTTATGATGCCGACAAGCGAAATGATTGCATTTGTGGACGTGTTTGGTTGCGGCTGGAGATGGATTAAAATGGATGGGTGAGTGAGCTTGGTTGAGGAAGATGGAATGACACTCGTCAGTTATTGGATTTTGTTTTATCATTTAATTTTCTCGTATAACTAAAATTAAATAATGCAACATTTTATTTATTTTTTATTTTTGTTTTTGAGTTGCATGACTGAAGTCTTGAATGGTCGACGTGTGTAATATCTAACTGCTATAAGAAGAGCTATAATGTTTGAAGTTGTTTTCTATTCTTTTCACTATAGCTATTACCTTTATAACATTGTTCATTACTTTTTTGAATTATTTTACACTTTTGGTGGTTTTGTTATTATTTTTTGCTTCCTGACAAGTTGAGTACATTTTATTAGGCTCATGGTATCCATCATTTGGTGCTTCCCACGAGAGATTACCTCTTTGCTCCATCCATAGTCAATATATGCCAAGCTGTAGATTTCATTCATGGTGAATATTCTCTTTTGGTATTAGTTTATCATATTGTGTGACTCTTGTAAATTGAACAATTTCATGCTTCATTTTTACAATCCCCAACTTCTGGTGCTTGTTCATTTTTCTCTTTAAACAGTATCGTTTCAGTATGAACCTAATTGGTATTTTGGTTAATGGAGTTAGAAAGCTATAGTACAAGTCAGTGTTCTTTCTTGAAAAAACACTTTCTTGAATATGAACGCTTTATTTGGTCTTTATCTTCATAATTTTGCGTTCAAATGATGTTCATGTACGGAAAGTAAAGAAATTCTTAAGATGGAGTTGCTTTACATTATGAATAGTTGGATGGTTCAGGGCAGATTGACAGTTTTAATGCAATCGAAGACTCATATTTTCCTATAGATGTTTATCTTTGAAGATTTTTGTAGTGCTTCTTGCCTAGTGTTTTTAAACTTGGAAAACAATGAGCAATGATTTGTCAATTTATTTCAGTTAATTTATTCTTTATGCGGTCCATCTTATGTTGCAAATGATATATATTTCTTCAATCTTATTCTTTTTTGTTTTGTGTTAAAGAGAATGCATCCCAGAGGCGAAGTACATACATCCACTGTAAGGCTGGTCGGGGACGCAGCACAACCATTGTCATCTGTTATCTAGTGAGTTGGTTAATTAATCTAGTTATAATTGATCTTTGCTGTTTCCTGTTCTCATAATATTTTTTAATGTGCAGGTGAAGTATAGGCAGATGAAGCCTGATGCGGCATATGATTATGTGAAGTCAATACGACCAAGGGTCCTCTTAGCATCTTCCCAGTGGAAGGTTGGTTTGGATTTTCTGACTTTTTATTTGCCTTGCCCCATATTTCTGCAGTTCTGTTATACTGTGTTTTTTATGCAAAACAAAAATTGAGTAGATGCTTGAATTCAGCTTCCCTGTTGGAAAATTTTGTCATTTTATTCACATATGGTTTGAATCCCAAATTTTGTGTTTGTTGGCCCGCCTTATAAAAGAATGTATAACAATTGTAGGCTGTCCAAGAATTTTACCATCTCAAGATGAATGCTAATAGCTCAAGCCAGTTGACTGGTCTATCCCTAAGTCCAAGGTTCTTGGCTAAGCGAGATCTCTTTGCATTTGACGATGGCTCTGTAGTTGTTATAACAGAGACAGATGTTGATGGATATGTTCGAGGAGACGAGCCTGGAATTGCTGGAAATGAGATATGGGCAGATGTGAGTTTGATATACCGAGTTAAAGTTGCTGGTGATGCAGCTCTGGCCAGACTCTCCGGACTCTGGTTTATTTGGAATTCTCGTCAAAAGATTTCAAGCAAGAAGCTATCTAGTGATGGTGGTTGTGCAGTTAATGGAAGCAACTGGAAAGTTTAACCGTAGATGTTTAGTATGTATGTATGTATGTTCTTCTGAGTTGTGAATATCTGGGTTCTTTATATAGAGCAAAATACTGGTCTCGAGAAATCTGTAAACGTTCCCTTCGTAAATTGAGACTCGTTTCTTTCTGAAAATACTTTTGCTTAAGAACGAACTCTGTTTCATTAAGCAACGGTTCAATTCTGTGTGCAATTTGCCATTCAGGACCATAGTTACAATTAATATTTGATGTATATTTCAAATTTTGAATTAACGAGTAAATGACCTTGCTAGCAGAAAGTGCAATAGAGACTGGGCTGAGACCAAATCCATTTCAACATAAATGGAGCGAATAAAATTTTATGGAAATATAAATTAAAATCCATTTTGTAGTTCAACAAAATCTTAATATTCCAGACATATGAATTGGCTTCATTACAAAAACACCAGTTTTCGTGCGGTAGTTTCGGTAGATCAAGGCATTTGCAATGATATCATATTTTTTTCACATTTTCTTCTTTCTTATAGTTGTTAAGGGTAAATCCAACATCGAATAACGATTAAATAAATTCACTGTATAATATAAGGACTTTACTACTTTTAACGAGGTTGATTATTTTATCATAATCGTGTTTTCTCTCTCTCTCTCTCTCTCTCTCTAAGGTGGTTGTTATGATGCCGACAAGCGAAATGATTGCATTTGTGGACGTGTTTGGTTGCGGCTGGAGATGGATTAAAATGGATGGGTGAGTGAGCTTGGTTGAGGAAGATGGAACGTTTATACTTCTAAATTATTTTTTATATATTAATATATATTTAATTATGTAATGTGTTATTTATTTGTACTTTTAAAGAGTTATGGGAATTTATTTGCATTTTTTTCTTATATTTTGTTGTTTTACTGCTTCATGTTATATTTATTTATTTAAAGAAAAAGGGCAAATTTGTCATTTGAACCCGAGTTTTGCTGTGTAATGCAAGGTCGAAGATGTATTTTGCTAACAAAATATTAGGATAAATTTGTCATTTTTCGCAAAGATCATTTTCCAAGAAAGAAAATAATTGAATTAAAAAAGAAAGGCTTTAAAATAACATAAAATGGGCTAGAATAGACAATTACTAGTTCTCTATATACGTAAAAGAATTAAGCTAAATGTACATCCTTGCCTATGTGAAGGAAATCTGCACAGTGATGTGATGGATGGATTGAAAATCAAGAGTGTAGATCTTGCCATGTGAAAGAGTGCAAAGGAAGGTGTATAAGAGAGTGTATATGTAGCAAGATTGTACATAGAAACCAAAATCTTTAATATTGGTAAACGAGGACTCGCTCGTGTGGACTATGCCTTCACACGTGGGTCAGGTTTCTTTCGTGTCTTTCTCGTGCATGTTAGACGATACATTTTGACATAGTTAGAACACAAATTGTAGTTATTGTGGTATTGTACAGTAAAGTACACAAAATTTTCATTTTTTTTCTTCTATCAAATACTAAGAACACATGATTACTCGACAAATTTTATTAAATGCGGACTTCCTTAATCTTCTGTAGTCACACACAGTCGTGCGTTCCCTTCTTATCCTGATGTAATAGTGGATTCAGGGCTACATATTCTTCCTGTACTTTGCCAACCTTGATTTCACCTAACTTCTCTTCTTTCATCAAATCAAATGCTTTGCAGAGAGCCATCTTTGCATAGAACAGTGCCACACCCAAGAAAATGAATGCAAGAAGGCCTAACACTGCACAAAGTACAACCACAGATAAACATTGGAAACATATTCGGGAATTAATAGTCTGAAACTCAAAATTGGTCTCTATGATCTAATCTAACAAACTTGGTTACTTTGACACTTGGAGGATTCTAAGAAGAGGGCTTACCATTATAATTTGCTCCGAAGTCGAAAAATTCTTTGTTATGCAATGTTTCAGATTGGCTTCTAATTCCAGCATCATCACAATCACCAGTCAAGTTCCATGTTAATGAGAGTCCAAAGCTATTATCAGACAAATATGGACTATATGAAAATGGGATTGCAATAGTTTTCATAGAATCACACGAAATCGGAGGGGCAAACGATGATTCTACGACGTAAACATGATGGTTCGATCCACTGAGACATGGAACTTGCAGAAAAGAATTCGAAAGCTGGGACGAGCAATTGATGTATTTGTACTCTTTTGGAACATAGTAGTAACTGAATGGAGTACAAGAAAGATTCAGATTCAAGAAAACTTCAGGAACACAATTTTTGGGATCAATAAGGTCAAGTTTTCTGGCAGCCCAATTGGTGGACTTGACAATTAGATCACCATAAGTTGGAAAATGAATAAATGTTTTGTTTTGTTTGAAAAATAGCTCAAAACCAGGACGAACACAGTGATGTGGCTGCTCGTCCTGGATACGGGATTGGTATCGAAATCCAGGAAAATCTTGGATACTAATGATAGACGATGGGTTATTAGGTTGGTGAGCTTTCGTAACTAGAAAAACATAGGAGAAAATTGTGAAGAAGATGAAGAAATCCATGAAATTATGAAGAAAACAATGTTACAATATAAGGATACTAATGTTTGAAGTGGTCCAACAATTTGATGTCTAAAATAGAATGACAAAGGGGGAATTGTAAACAGCCTGGCGTGTTTGACCAGCAAGGTACTAGGCCTGCCTAATATTCTCCTAAAAGTTAATTATGAGTAAATAATTGCGCATTCTATAAAAAATATAAATCGATATATTTAATTATAAATGAAAAATCAGATATCTAGTTAAATTGGGAACAAAATAAATCAGCTGTGCAAGTTGGGTTTTTTTTTTTTTTTTTTTTTTTTTTTTAAATAAATTGAAAAACGATTCAATCTTGACATATATCATATTGTATTTGTATAAACTTTCAAGTAGGGGTTTCTTTCAAGTTGCAATGACTTCCAAGTCAATGCATTTGTCAAACTTTAAAGAAGTTATTTCTTCCAATTTGAGTTTGATTACATCATATGAAAAGACTTTGGGGCATTTCTCTTCTCTCTCTCACATCCATCCCGACACACGTTTTGGTATTTTATGATAGTAGGCACTTTTGGTACTAATTAAATTCGATTTTAACATAAGTTAAAGTCAAATAATTAATATTAATCATATCTTTCATGAATTTCACAATTATTCAATCACACATTCCAAAAACTTCTATCACAATCTATTAAAAAAATTAATTTTAATCCCCACTAAAAACTTCTGTCATATTATTGCTACGTAAATTTATGTAACACAAATTGTGCTAAATAACATTACTTTTTTTATTAGCCAGTCATAACATTTACGGCTTGTTTGGATAAGTTTAAAAGTTACTCAAGTTTACTTTTTAAATAATTTATATAAGTAAGTTACTTCTTTTCAATTTTAACCAATGACGAATAATATTTAGTGATTTATACTAAAACTTGATTCTTGGGGCTGGATATGGTGGCAGCGGCGATAGTGGTTGGTTTGATACTCTTCGAAATGGTGATTTGTCATTTTTTTTTTTGGGTTCCCTAATTGTGGGATCCCATTAATTTGAAGCTTCTCGATGCTGGAAACGAATTAGCCCATTATAGTTTAGCCAGTTCGGGTCATGTAATTTGAGCTCGGCCTGCTGCAGAGCAGCACCTGATCCAATTTTACTCTTACTAGATTCAGCCCAACTTGTCCCTATTGCCTGGTGCTGTGAATGTAGTACTTCATTTAAATGCTGGTGAAGGGACATTTCTAAAAAAATTATTTTGATAAGTTACCTTAGTTGTACTGTTCGGCTAAATGTGTTTTCTAGTTTTTTATTTTGAAAAACAGTTTTTCAAAATAACAAACCAAATATCTTTTTAACAATCTTAAAACAGATGCTCAAAACAGAAAAATGATTTCAAAACTGAAAACTAAAATACAAACAAAATGAGTTGTTAATTTTTGTATTTGCTTCATAACATGATTCAAAATGATAAGATTATAACAACTCTTTGATATTTTCTAGGTTCTGAACTTAAAATATGTTTAGTTCACGAAATTGTAAATGATTATTGATTTTACCAAAAGTTTGTACCTAAAGGAGATGAGGTCAAGATGTTGATCGTGCTGAGATTTGGACTTCAAGCTGATCACGAATAGCTCCAAAGTACCCAATGCAAAGACTAAGGTATAACCTCACAGTCTCTTCGATGCTCAAGTCAGCAAATGTAGAGAGACAAAATATATCGAAAAGTTTTTAAGCAGACGTAAATCAATAATAATGCTGTGTGGATTATGAGGTCAAGGTCTCGTGTTTATAGTATATTAGAAGTAGATATATAGCGTACTTAGGATGCTTAGGGGCTATAGGTTGGCTCAAGTATCACGAGGCCGTATCCTTGTGGGATTGCAAGGTCAAGTAAACATTCTAATAGGAGAAGTTTAGTCTTCTTTGGATAATGATAAGACTAGGTAGAAGTATATTAAGAGTGGGTGATCACTAATACCTGATTACACCTCAACTGTTTAGGTGGTCGGTACAATGCGCGTGGAGGTTGGGAATAGACCATAGTGAGGAGAACAAGAGTGAATTATCTAAATGATCATTGAACTTTACAAAAAATCTTCACGGGGTTATTGAATTTTAAAAATCACCCAATTCATCACTGAATTTTGCAAAAGATTTTCACAGGATTACTAAACTTTAAAAATCACTCAATTCATCACTAAACTTTGTAAAATATTTCCACGGGGTAACTGAACTTTTAGTAACCCCTGAGAAACATTTTACAAACTATTTAGTGATGAATTAAGTGATTTTTAAGGTTTAGTGACGAGAATATCAAAATTCTCTCAAATATATACAAAATTAGTTATTTGTATTTGGTATGAGATACTTGAGGATGATAATATTAATATTTTAACAACTTGTTAACATATTACTAAACATGTTTTTTTGATGTGATCACCAGTTCAACAAACTATATATATCATCCAATAACTTGCTTTGACAAAATCATATACATTCATCAGTAGATTAATTTTCAAATATAAAAAATTTGACTGATTAATGATTGGACAAGTTGTATTAATATTGACTAGCCAAAGAGGTAACCAACATTATGAACTTTTATTTCTATTTACCTATGGCGAAAAATATACACATTGATGTACAAATAATGGGGTCATGTAACGTAATTTTTCGTGTATCTTAACACACCATAAGAAAGTAATTTTTCGACTTACCTTTAAATTTAACATCACACATTGATTAAAATATATATATATTGTTTTTGGTCATGCATTCAAGTGGTGCAATTTTCGTTAATAACGAAAGGAAAATAAGAACTTTATGCATAAGAACACCTAGTATGGTCCTTCCGACGATCAACATTGTCCATTTTTTTAGCATGCATGGCTTGACGAGAACATCATAAAGTTTGGCATAACCAATTATACCATACTGGTCGTCGAACTTGATAACTTTTTACATTTTCTTATTACGTTATTTAAAAAAATAAAAAATGACAATATTATTTTACTAGTACACATTATCACTTTTTATTTTAAGAGAGGTTCATACAATCAACTATATACGAGCTTAGACTAAGGTAGGTTAGCCAATGGTGCAACCTGTCCCAAGAGGTGTCGTGTTTAGACTAGATCTAAATCTGAACATCTCGATTTGTTTTACGATTGCAGCTATGGGGATTTACATGAAAATAGAAGAAATTAACGATTGTCAAAGTCAAAAATAGGATGAGAAGCAACAATAAAATCAATTTAAAGTAAACATGAAACCTCAACTGCCTGACAACACGACAAAGTCAGCAAACCAAACTGGAGAGTGCGTACGAGGACTGGGAGAAGAGTGTAGAATTCAAGAAATTATCAAACTGATCAAATAAAGAAAGTGTTTTTTTAATTAAAGAGCAAAGAATACTATTATGAGTTTGACCAATAAAGTTGACTTCAACCTATTATCACATGGGATTGAAACAGTTATTTCAATCATTTAGCCCTCTTTGACTATTAATTGGGAAAAATAAAGTTTTGAATAATATTTTTTAGAAGAATGTATGATTTAAAAGTATGAAATTTTTTTTTGAATTTACATGAATACTATTTTATTGTGTGAATGAGTGGTTGAAAATGAATATATAAAAAGAATTATTCTGCAGGTACAGATTTTTTTACTGATTCTCCTTGTAATTTGCTGTTGTTAAAAATTATTTTTGGCAGCAGCCAATCCCTCTGAGCCAACTGTGTTTTCTGTATAAAATCTGTTAAAAAATATGTACTTGTAACATTTTTCATAGAAAAAATAGTTTAAAAATAATGATTGTCAAATAGGGACTTAATGCATTCAACAATTTTTTTAAACATAATAACCAAAAATAGAAAAGGATAAGAAAAAGTTAAATTCGAATTGTTGCACTACTATGGAGCTTTAACACATGTTTGGATGTGATTATAAGTATCGAGATCTTTATTTTTATGGTTCAAAATATGGGTCATATAAATTTAAATGGTACATTATTATTTATCGTCCAACTAAATAAAAATGCTTAATGTTGGAAATTGTTTATCTTCTTTTTTTCTTTTTAGAAGTAAATTATGAATTTACAACGTGTCCAACAATAGGTTATTTTGTCTAGTTGGATGACTAGAATAATACGGTAAATAATTTTTCATGTAGTGTCATGAGCAAAAAAAGAGAGAAACATCCAAAAAAAAAAAAAAAAAAGAGGAAAAAAGATTTAATTTGCAAAATATGTTCAAACTTTAAACGTGCTAGTAATCGTAATAGTCAAAAAGTTTTACGTGTTGCTTGTGTAATAAGTATCTAAACTATGTTCAAAAGTTAATAATAATTAAGTATCCAAACTTAAAAGTTATGTTCATTTTATTCTTGAAAGATAGTCTTCTAATATTCTCTCCTAATCTTAGTAAAAATAATAAATTTTATGAGAAATTAAACATTTAGCTTTCAATTGTTAAAAGCCACTTTTCAATTAATTTTAGAGGCCAACTTACGATTTTTAAAGAATTTAAAGTTATTTTAGAAGTTTAGTAAATTTTAAAATATTATATTATTAAGTAAGAGTGTGTACTATTTGATAGCAGATTGTGTAAAATTGTAGTTTCTGCTTCTGGCCGGTTTACTTGTATATTACTTAATCTAAGAAATTCACTTTATGTCTTAGGTTTATTAGGTCACATGTGCAAAAAAGATAATTGAAGTTCAGTTAAAATTTTCAATTAGACGGACTATGCTTTTATTTTGTAACTTTATAAATTTTAAGATTTAATATATGTAATAGAAGTGAAACATAATCTCAAAGAGACAATATGTAAAAGAAAATCAACCATCATTGGATCTATTTTTAGATTTTCGTTGGTGTTTCTCACTTTTTTTAGTGTTTGTTGCTTTTTGAATTTTTGTGAATTTCTATTAACTTTTTTGGTATTTGTCACTTTTTCGAATTTTTAATCTATTTTTTATTGTGTTAAATGTGAATTAGGTTTTATGACACTAAAAAATGATTTTAAACGTGACAACACAATATTTTTTACTTTTAAAACAGTTTTCACATGATTTTTCAAAATATTT